TAATATTAAAATAATTTAAGTATTATAATAAGAACTGGTCATATGCTAATTTAAAAGGTAACACACTAGATTTATTTTATTAATTTTTTATTTTTGGAGATGGGGTCTTACTCTGTTTCTTGGGCTGGAGTGTAGTAGCACCTTCTTAGCTCACTGCAGCCTTGAAATCATGGGCTCATGTTATCCTTCCACTTTAGCCTCCTGAGTAGCTGGGACTACAGGCATGTGCCACTATGCTGGCTAATTTTTTAAGTTTTTGGTAGAGACTGGGTCTCGCTATGTTGCCCAGGCTGGTCTTGAACTGCAAGCCTCGAGTAATCCTCCTGCCTCGGCCTCTGAAATACTGAGATTACAGGTATGAGCCACCATGCCTGGCCTAGATTTATAATAAAAATTATGAGTAACAGCTGGGCATGGTGGCACATGCCTGTAATCCCAGCACTTTGGGAGGCTGTGGTGGGCGGATCACCTGAGGTCAGGAGTTTGAGACCAGGCTGGCCAATATGGTGAAACCCCATTTCTACTAAAAATACAAAAATTAGCCAGGTGTGGTGGTGCACACCTGTAGTCCCAGCTACTTGGGAGGGTGAGGCAAGTGAATCGCTTGAACCTGGGAGACAGAAGCTGTAGTGAGCTGAGATCATGCTACTGTATTCCAGCCTGGGAGACAGAGTAAGACTCTGTCTCAAAAGTAAATAAATAAATAATGGCTTGGGCATGGTGACTCACACAGTAATCCCAATGCTTTGAGAGGTCAAAGAGGGAGGATCACTTGAGCCCAGGAGTTCAAGGCTACAGTGAGCCATATTCATGCCACTGCACTATAGCTTTGGTAACAGAACAAGACCTTGTCTCTAAAAAAAAAAGCAATCAAAAAGAATATATAGCCTTCTCACAGTATCCCATCAATCTTTAGAATGATTCTTCGCTGATTCAGATTCACCCATGGGATCCAACATGTATTTGTCCCACAGTGAACTCCATTCTACAGCAACGTAACACAATGGAGTTTCAGTTAATTCCAGAGGCTGGCCAACTACTTACTCAAAGTTGCAAAAGAATACAAGCTAGCAAAAAACGTAAGCTAGATCTGAAAACAGAATCAAATCCTGTGAGCCTGAGTCTAAACTTATAGCTCACCAGGATCATAATGTTCTCTTGAAAGGTCAAATGTATTTTTTAAGTGGCTAAAGGTACATCACTTGACAGCAAAGCCAGACTAAGCATAAGAAAAAATACAGACCACTATCTCTTGTGAATATTGGTGCAAAAATCCTCAACTAAATACTAGCAAAACAAATTCAACAGCATATGAAGAGGGTTATACACCATGACCAAGTAGAACTTATTCTTAGAAGGTAAGGATAATTTGAAATAAGGAAATCAATCTGTATAACACACCATATTAAAAGGACAAAGGGAAAATGGCCACATAATCATTTCAAGTGATACAGGAAAGCATTTGACAAAATTTAACACCCTTTCATGATAAAAAATACTCCAAAAGCTAGGAAGAGAGAAGGAAACTACCTAAACAAAATAAAGGATATACAGTAATCCCTTGGTATACACAGGAGATTTCTTCCAGGAGCCCCTGCATATACCTGAATCTATGCATACTCAAGTCCTCCATTTCGCCCTGTAGAATCCCCATGTACAAAAAGATGGCCCTCTATATACACAGGTATCACATCCCTCAAATACTGTATTTTCATTCTGTGTCGACTGAAAAAAATTTGTATACAAGTGGACTTGTACAGTGCAAAAACATGTTCAAGGGTCAACTGTATATAAAAAACCCACAGCTAATATCATTCTCAAATTGAAAACCTGAAAGGTGTTCCTCTAAGATCAGGAGTAAAACAAGGATGTTTGCTTTCACCACTTGTATTCAACATAGAACTGGAATTCCTAGCCAGAGCAATTAGGCAGGAAAAAGAATCCAAATTGGAAAGAAAGAAGTAAAATTATCTTTGTTCATAGATGACAAAATCTTATGTATGGAAAACTCAAAAAACTTAAAGAACCCATAAAACCTGACAGAACTAATAAATAAATCAGCAAAGCTGCAAGATAAGAAAATCAATACAACATCACTTGTGTTCCTTTACATTACATTAATGAACAATCTAAAAAATGAAATTAAGACAATTCCACTTACTTACAATAGCATCAAAAATAATACAATACTTAGGAATAATCTTAAGCAAGGACTTGTCTTGCAAAAGACATATACTGAAAACTACAAAATGTTGCTGAAAGAAATTAAAGAAGACGTGAATGAAAAGACATCCTATGATCATGGACTGGAAGACTTAATATTCTTAAGATGTCAATGCTAGCCAATGCAATGTCCATATTCAATGCAATCTCTGTCAAAATTCCAACAATGTTTTTGCAGAAAGAGAAAAATCTATCCTAAAACTCATACAGACTCTCAAGAAATCTTGAATAGCTAAAACAATCTTAAGAAAGAAAAATAAAGTTGGAGGTCTCACACCTCCTGATTTTAAAACTTTTGACACAAAGCTACGGTTATCAAAACAGTGTGGTACTGAATACAGATAGACATATAGTCCAATGAATAGAATAGAGAGTCCAGAATTAAACTCCCATATCTATGCTCAAGTGACTTTTCAACAAGGATTCTAAGCTCATTCAATGGGAAAGGGCAGTCTTTCAACAAATAGTGCTGGGAAAAGATATCCATGTGTAAAAGAATGACTTTAGACCCTTATCTAACACCATATACAAAAATTAAAATGGGCTGGGTGTAGTGGCTCATGGCTGTAATCCCAGCACTTTGGGAGGCTGAGGCGAGCAGATCACTTAAGCTCACAAGTTCCAGACCAGCCTGGGCAACATGCTGAAACCCCGTCGCTACAAAAAAAATGCAAAACAGGCCAGGTGTGGTGGCTCATGCCTGTAATCCTAGCACTTTGGGAGGCCAAGGTGGCTGAATGACCTGAGGTCAGTAGTTTGAAACCAGCCTAACCAGTATGGTGAAACCTCGTCTCTACTAAAAATACAAAAATTAAACGGGCGTGGTGGCATGTGCCTGTAGTCCCAGTTACTCAGGAGGCTGAGACAGGAGAATTGCTGAACCGCCATGAGGCAGAGTTGCAATGAGCCGCGAAAAGACTCGCGCACTGCACTCCAGCGCTGGGCAGACAGAGTGAGGACCTCTGTCTCAAAAAAAAAAGAAAAAATGTACTCGGCATGGTTGGCACATGCCTGTACTCAGCTGCTCGCGGGCGTTGAAGGTGGGAGAGTCATTTGAACCCGGAGAGCGGAGGCTGCAGTGGGCCGTGACTGTGGCCGACTGCACTCCAGCCTGGGGTGACAAAGGTAAGACTGTCCTCAAAAAAAATAGACAATATAAATATAGAGAGCTAAAACTATAAAACTCTTAGATGACAAGACAGTAGGTGAGAAGTTTAAATACTGGATTTGGCAATTATTTCTTGTATATGACACCAAATAGAAGAAAAAAATAAAAAGGAATAAAATTGACTTATTAAAATTAAACTTTCAATGTGTAAAACGACCATGCAATGGGATGAAAAGACCAACCCATAAATGGGGAGAAAACTACTGAAAGGTAGGTAATATTTATAGGGATAATATGCTAGAATAGCATAAATAACTCTACAATTCACAAAACAAACACCATCAATTTAAAAAATGGGCCCAAAGACGTTAATAGCATTTCTACCAATGGAAGATATAGATGAGCAAAAACACATGAAAGATAGCTCCAATATTACTAATCAAGTAGGGAAATGAAAATCGAAATTATAATAAATGACCTTTCATTACACCCACGGTGGATGTGCCATTATCAAAAAAACAAAAGCAACACCAGAAAACCACGAAATGTTGGGCAAGGATGTGTGAAGAACCTGGAACACTTGCGCCGTTTGCTGGTGGGAATATAAAATGGTCCAGCCACTGTGGGAAAAGCGGTACGGTGGTTCCTCAGAAAATGAATACTAAATTACTCTCCATTTCTGGGAATATACCCAAAGAAATGAAAGCAGAGATTGAATGATATTTGTTGCTATTTTGTTTTTCTTCTTAAGACAGGCCTTGTTCGTCTGTTGCCCAGGCCTGGAGTGCAGTGGTGCGATCTTGGCTCACTGTAGCTTCAACCTCCTGGGCTTCAAGTGATCCTCAACACCTCAAGCCTCCAAAAATAGGACTATGCTATAGGCCATCTGCCACCACATGCTTGCTGTTTTTTTTTTTTTTAAATAGAGATAGGGTCTCACTGTGTTGCCCAGAGTGGTCTCAAACCCCTGGGTTCAAGTGATCCTCCTGCCTCAGCCTCACAAAGCGCTGGGTTTACAGGCATGAACAACCATGCCTGGTTTGAACAGACACCTGTACACAAATGTTCACAGCAGCATTATTCACAATAGCCAAAAGGTAGAAGCAACCCAAATGCCCATCAACAGATGAATGAATAAACAAAATGTGGTATTAAATAGAAAGCATATTCATACGATGGAATATTTTTTCTTTTGTTGTTTTTTTCTTTTCTTCATACAATGGAATATTATTCAGCCTTGAAAAGGAAGAAAATTCTGGCACAAGCTATATGGATGAACCTAGAAAACATTATGCTAAGCCAGTCACACACAAAAAAACAAAAAACAAATACCGTATGATTTCACTTATATGAGGAACCTAGAGTAGTCAAATTCACAGAAACAGTAGAATAGTAGTTGCCAGAAGCTGGGGAAAGGGAGAAATGGATACAGAATTTCAGAATGAGAAGATGAAAAAGTTCTGAAGATAGATGGTAGTAATACTGAAAAGCTGCACAACAATGTGAATGTATTTAATACCATTGAACTGTACACTTAAAAATGGTTAAAATGGTAAATTTTGTGTTATGTATATTAGGAAAAAAACAGACCAAAGTCTGTCTCTGTTACTCAATCTTTCTTCCATATTATTTAATATAAACTCTTTTTAAATGCTGTAAAAACACATACCTTTCTGTAAAAGAGTGCTAAGGACCCAGTTCTCTTTGGCCTGCTTATTCCAGTTGAATGTACCTCTTGTGCTTTAGTCAGACTGGTCTGTTTTGGAGAAGCACCAATTAATGAATGAGCAGTAAGTGATACAGGACTCTTGACTTTGGACTCTTGATTTGTATTCATGGAAATAGGTAGTGTGATCTCTGCAGCATCATTTGCAACACCTGAATGTATAAGCATTATTAGAAATAATCTGCATATGTTCTAGGAAAGTTGTCAACTATATATATTTTGTCAATTATATATATACATATATGTCGTGTAAGAGGCTACAAAATAGCAATTCTAGGTTATGATTGATTTTTTTTTTTTTTTTGAGACAGGATCTCCCCTTGGTCACTCAGGCTGGAGTTGCAGTGGCGCCATCTCAGCTCACTGTGGCCTCGACCTTCTTGGGCTCAAGTGATCCTCCCACCTCAAGCCCTGGCAATAGCTGGGACTACAGGGTGCAAGCCACCCAGGCCCTGCCTAACTTTTTTTTTTTTTTGAGGTGGAGTCTTGCTTTGTCACCAGGCTGGAGTGGCA